TGTGTGTGTGAGAATATGTTGGCGAGAGTGTGACAGGGTGTGAGAACGTCTTGTGTGACCAACACACATGTGTGAGCGTTCAGGACAACGTGTGAGAGTCTGTCGCCTGAGTACATGCGTGAGCGTGTGCGAGTGTGTGAGCAAGAGCGTGTGAGCGTGCGAGGGCCGGGGCTGGGCTGGTGGCAGGCGTCCTGAGCAGGGGCTCCGAGGAGAGGTTAAGAGCCAGGCTCTGGGTGTGAATCCAGACTGGGCCCCTCGGGAGGTCCCTAGCCATCAGCTGGCCAGTGGTCTCTCTGAGCCCCAGACTGTGATGTGGGAATCCTGCTCCTGCGTCCTTCCTGGGTGTTATGACTAGTCAACGAGATCACGAACACTGAGCTTCTAATCCAGTGCATGGGACTCGGGATGAACTCGACCAAAGGCTGTCATTGTTCTCAATGTATCACTCACAGTCAGGCTGGGCCCTGTGGCGCCCCAGAGGACCGGGGAAGAAAATGAATGATGTGCTAATCCAGGCTGGGAGGGCCCGGAAGAAGGGGGTTGGGGGTGGCCTCCAGGGCAGGTGACCTGGGTGCTGGGAAGGACGGCGCTGGGAGGAGGATTTTGTGGACAGAGCAGGGCCTGGTCCTGGTGCTCACGGCCTTCCCTCCAACCCTAGGTACAGGAGGGGTGTGCGGGGCCTGATTCCCTGCCTGTGGCTGATTTAGTGTCTTGAGTCTCAGGCAAGACACTCACTGGTAAAAAGGTAGGAAATACACAGAAACACAAAGAAGATCCATGTGCCCCAGATCCCAGCACCCAGAAAGAGCTGCCACTAACACCTTAGTATGCGGCTGTCCTGCTTACGGGCCCGTGCGTGCACGGGTACACATACACATACCACGTTTCCCTAAGTGGGAATCATATAGTACCCGCTATTCTTGGACTCGCTTTGTTGAACTGCTACAGGACAGAGTCTCGTGTGGGGTACGGCAGCTATTATCACTGTTGGTGTTGGACGGCTGGAGAGGCTAGACTTCTCTCCTCGTGTTTGTTAACAGTTTTTCATCCTTTGGGACTCACCTGTGCATGTCCTTTGCCCATTTTTTTGTTAGTGTTTTTGCCTTCTTCTTGTTGATTTTTAACAGTTCTTTATATATTAAGGTTATCCCTCTCTGTACATCGGACAGTCAGAGGGACTCCCAAACTCCCTGGGGCAGGGGCAGACCCAGCCAGAGTCTGGGCTCTGGGTGCTTGGCTCCAGGACCCCCAGCCTGCCTAGGAATCCTGGAATTCGGCAGCAGGAAGTGGCTAGGCTGGTAGGGCAGTGTGAGGCAGTGGCAAGGAAAGAAGAGAGAAGGTTCAGAACTTAAATCAGAGGCTCTGAGTGACAGAGCCTTAATGGGAGACAGATGGAGGAAATAAGGTTGCCCTTGCTGACAGGAGGGAGGTCAGGGGTCAAGGAGTTTTCTAAAGACAGGAGCCTGGGCGACAGGCAGTCGGCAGGGCCTGGCTCCACAGTGTGGTGCCCAGGGGCTGTGACAGAGCAGGGGTCAGCTCCTTACTCCTGCTTGTGCAGACCCTCTCAGGCCCACACCCAGAGTTGCTGCAGGACATCCCACCCCTGAAGGCCAGATGTAAGGAAGAGCACCCCCACCTCCAGACCTGGATTGGAGTCTCAACCTAGCTGTGCAACGTTGGGTAAGCCTCCAAACCTCTCTGAGCCTGTTTCCTTGTTTGAAAATAGTATAATACCATCATTTACTTAATGGGATTTATTGAGATTAACACAGTGCTTGGTGCATCAGAAAGGCTCAGTAAATAAAAGCTAACTCATTACCATTCCTTTACTGGTCACAAGACAATTAGAATTTTCTTGGGTTTTTTTTTTTTATAAAGATTTTATTTATTTATTTGAGACAGAGAGAATGAGAGAGAGAGAGCACGAGAGGGAAGAGGGTCAGAAGGAGAAGCAGACCCCCCGCCGAGCAGGGAGCCTGATGTGGGACTCGATCCAGGGACTCCAGGATCATGACCTGAGCCAAAGGCAGTCGCTTAACCAACTGAGCCACCCAGGCGCCCGACAGTTGGAATTTTCTTGTTGGCAGAGCCCACCAGCAACATCAAGGACCTCTTCATTGGCTCCAAGACTGTCAGAGCTGAAGGGCCTTCGGGTTACAGATGAGGAAACTGAGCCCCAAAGACCAGAAGGGCCATGACAGGGGTCATCCATCAGAGTGGTCTTAACTGTGTCCTCCAAAGAGACATGTTCAAGTCCTAGCCTCTGGTACTTTTGACTGCAATCTTATTTGGAAATAGGGCGTTTTGGTTTTTGTTTTTTTGTGGGTTTTTTGTTTTTTGTTTTTTTGCAAATATATCAAGTTAAAATGAATTCCTACCAGATTAGGGTGGGTCCTAAATCCAATGACTGGTGTCAGTTAGAAAGGACAAGGAGATTTGGACCGAGACACAGACACAGGGAGGAAGGCCATGTGAACACAGAAGTGTGCAGAAATGGGAGTGGAGCTGCCATGAGCCAAGGAAAGCCTGGGGCCACCAGAAGCTGGCAGAGGCAAGAAAGGAACTTTCCCTGGAGTCTTTGGATGGAGCTATGTCCCTGCCTGCCGACGCTTTGATTTCAGACTTCCCGCTCCCAGAACTGGGAGAGAGTACATTTCTGTTGTTCCCAGCCGCCCAGTCTGTGATGCTTTGTTATGACAGCCTTAGGAAAAGAGTGGAGCCAGGCAGAAGCAGGCCTCAGCCCAGGTGGTCCCCCCAGGTCTGTCCTGGACCCCATTCTAAACAGGCCTCCTCCAGTTACTCACCACGTGCCCAAGCGTGCCCCAGTCCCCCGATGTGTGCTACAGAGCAAGTGACCCTGAATCCAATGGGAAGGGCTGAGAAGCCTCTGGGTTGCCTGTTGGCTGCTACATCACTCAGGACCTTGGGGTCAAGAAGCGGGGAGTGGACCCTTAAAATAGGGGTAGACATTCCCAACGCCCCCCCCCAGGGTAACACATGGGGAGACTGAGGCACACTTGAGCAAGTGCCCCATTCAGATGCTCATTGTTGCCAGATGGGAGTTTGGGCCCAAGTACCCAGTCATCTGATTTTATAAGATAAGATGGAAAGCTTCATATCAGTGTGAGCAGCGTTTCCCAATGTCACTCAAGAAGACACTTCTTGGGGCATCTGGCTGGCTCAGTCAGTTAAGCATCTGCCTTCGGCTCAGGTCATGATCTCAGGGTCCTGGGATCGAGTCCCACATCAGGCTCCTTGCTCAGTGGGGCGTCTGCTTCTCCCTCTCCCTCTTGCTGCTCCCCCTGCTTGTGTTTTTTTTTTTCTCTCTCTCTCAAATAAATAAAGAAAATCTGACGAAGTAGAAGAAGAAGGAGGAGGAAGAGGAGGAGAAGGAGAAGAAGAAGGAGAAGGAAAAGGAGAAGAGGAGGGGGAGTAGGAGGAAGAAGACACTTTTCTCCTGGAGTGAGAACCCAGGCAGTCATGTACTGGGAGCCATGGACCCGATGCCAAGCCCAAGCTGCGCACCCCCACCCCTCCTTCTGGGCCTTCTAGGCAATAGAGGCAGAGACAAAAAGGTGTTTTGAGTTCCCAGTGGGGATTTTGATAGCTGGTCATTTGATCAGCGCAACAACCTTGTAAACTTAACAACAATAACAGCCAGTAATTAATTATGCAGCCCCTGCTGCGTACTAGACCCTGCTGGGTCCCCATAGCCAGGCCTGGGGGGAGTGCTTTGGATTGGGTTTCCTTGGTAAATCTGTTCTGCTCTCGGTGGGGGAGTCGAACATATACATCAGATTGTCTTCAAATGCCTCTCTAGACCTTTTCTCCTTCACTCAACAACTCTCACCTCTGGCAGGTGCCAGATGGGAGAGACCTCCAAGGGCGCATGGGGTTGGGGCGGGGGTGGGGGGAGGCCAAGGTGCGATGCGAACGCTGGGACCCTTACGCCTCTTCAGAAAGGACTTTCCAGAATCATGAAGACATCAGGGCTCCGATGTGGGACTCGAGGCAGTCGAGGTTCACGTGGATGGCCTAAGGGAAGATGCCTAAGGCCCAGAAAGTGGCCCCAGGCTTGGGTTCCTTCCTGCTAGACTCCAAGTCCCTGACACTCACAGAGCTCTTGATCCAAGATCTTGGATGGGTGCGATTACCCCCGTTTTACGGGTGAATAAACTAAAGTTCACTGAGTCCATCAGAGCACGAAGTGGAAGGAGCTAGCCGCCTGCAGGGCCAGGAGCTCCGGGGGACGGGGACCGAGAGTAAGGAAGTGTCCCCGCCGCCCGGCGGGGTGGGTGGGCGTCCACTCAGCGGGCGGGGAGGCGAGAGCCCGGCCAAGCCGGAAGAAGGCCGGGTCGGATCCGAGTCCAGGGCGGCTCGGAGGCGCCCGGGGCTCCAGTCACCTCCAGGGCCCGGGGAACTCGGGCAGCGGCCGGCCGGGGCGCGCAATGGGCGGAGCTCGGACGGCGCCCAGCGGCCGCGGGCGGGATCGCAGGGCGGAGCAGGGCCACGCCGGGCCGGGGCTGGCAGAGGCCGACCCGCCTTGAGCCGGGATCAGGTTTGCGGCGGGGGGCCGCGCCCTCCACTCCACCCGCGCCGGCCCCGCGGATACCCTCCAGCTCACGCTCCGCGCCGCGGTCCTCCGAGCCCATAGGAGGCGCTGTCGCCACCGGTCGCTCTCCTGGCCGGCGCGGGCCGGAAGTGCGATCTGCGAGGGTCACTTCCGGCGCGGAGCAGCGGGGTGGGCGGCGAGGCGCGGGGGCTGGACCAGCAGAAGCCAGGTCAAGCCCGCGGCCGCCCGAACGCGCCCAGTCGGCTTCTCGGCCTCGCCCGAAGGTGCGGCCGCCCTGCCGCGCCCGAGGCCGGCGCGATGCCGTTCCTGCACGGCTTCCGGAGGATCATCTTCGAGTACCAGCCGCTGGTGGATGCGATTCTGGGCTCCCTGGGGATCCAGGACCCCGAGCGGCAAGAGCCCCTGGACGGGTAACTAGTTTCCTTGCCGCCGGCGGGCCGACCCGGCGCTGCTTCCCTTGAATTGTCACCACAAGCGCGGTGGGGGTGGCTGTGTCCCCACCGTACGGGTGAAGAGGCAGGCGGAGGCCGGAGTTGTGTTGCTTCGAGCGGGAGCCCCTGCACCCGGCCCAAATCTTGCCCTTTGCAGGGCGGAGGGTGCTCCAGGCCCGCGCACGGAGGCCGGGAGGGTGGAGTGCCGGCAGGGCCGCCGCCTCGGTGCCCCACCCAGTGCCCAGCCCGCCTGCTGCCGGTTGCGAGGGAGCAGGGTGGAGTCTGTGAGGGCCCCGGTTTTTACCCCAGAGCAGTGCGAAGATGAGCTCGTGGCTGAGCTTGCCTTTCACGTAGACAAGAGCAGGTGCATCCGCGAACCTGTGGGAAGGGTGTTCAGGGATGCAGCCGTGAGCTAAACAAAACCCCCGGCGTCGGTGATGCTTACGCTTCGGAGGAGGGAGACACGAGCATGAGTCAGGTGTCTGTACATTCGGTGTAATGGAGACAAGAGCAGAGGAAAGCGGAAGCAGGGCTGTGTTTCTGGGATCCGTTGGAATTTCAAACACCGTGGGTATTACGCGTCTGTCTAGGGACTTCGGTGGAAACAGGCTTGCTTCATCACTGCTCTGTTCACTTGGAAACACAGTGTAAGGTGTTTCCTTAACTCGGAGGCTGTCCTGGGGGTGAGGGCAGGGCAGCAAAGCGGGTGCTGCGTGGCCTTTTGTAGTCCCAGAATTTTTGCTTGGCATGGGTGGTGCACTGGGCACCCTCCCGGGCTGGGGAAACAGACGGAATCCCGCCCAAGCAGTAAGGATGGCACCTTGATCCTGATAATTGAAGGGCTGCAGAGGGGTGAGGCTAAGGGGAGTGGGAGCGTTGGTGAGGAAGGGAAGCCTCACCCGGAGGAGGTGGCGGCCTGTGAAGGAGCTGCGTACCGGTTCACAGAGCTGTCCGTGGGCCTGAGCTTTTGGGGAAAGCCGCAGAAGTCCTGGAGGTCAGGGCTGGCGGGCAGGTAGGGTGGGGGCTAGGGCGTGAAGGGCCGTGTGCGCGCAGCCTTCTGGGGACCGGGAGGGTAAGCGTCTCCGAGTGTGAGCGCGGCAGGAGGGCCTGGCCGCCCCCGCTGCGGGGGTTGCCTGGTCTGGCCGCCTCGGCAGCTCAGGGATGGTCAGTGTCAGGGGAAGGCCGTCAGTGTCCACTTCTTGCTCCTGGCTCTGCGAAGCCTCCCTTCAGGCCCAGCAGCACAGCTGTGTGAGGCTTTGTACCTGAGCCAGGGACCAGATTGTCTGGGCAACTGGGGAGGAGGCTGGAGTCAGCCCCAGTTCTTCCTCAGCAAACCCGAGGAGTCAGCTTGAGTTAAGAGATCCAGCTTGCTCTCTTGCTACCACAGGCCTTTTCCAGAGACTTTCTGCCCCACAGAACCAGGGCCCTACCTTGGAGGGAGGGGGGGTGATGACAGCAGAAAACCACCCACCCACAGGGTGCCCAGGCTAGCTGGTCTCACAGCTGCCTCCCGCCCCAACTGGTCCACCCCTCTGCTGCCCCAGGCCCAGTTATGTTGCCAGCGAGGAGAGCCGAATCCTTGTTCTCACTGAGCTGCTGGAGAGAAAATCCCACTCTCCGTTTTACCAGGAAGGTGTGAGCAATGCCCTGCTGAAGATGGCCGAGCTGGGGCTGACCCGGGCGGCCGACGTTCTCCTGCGCCACGGGGCCAATCTCAACTTTGAAGGTCAGCTGGAGCCCAGAGGGGCTGGGGAGGGATAGGTGGCTTAAGGGTGGCTCTGCCTTTCTGGTTCTCTTGGGAGCCGCTTCCCTTATTTCTTCCGTGGGTGGGTGGCGACTGAGGAATCCCATCCCCCTGTGGGCTTTCAAGTGGCTCTGACCCGCTCTGGTCCGAGAGTGAGTTTGTAGCTGCCTCCACCGTGTGCTTGATCAGCAGACTTTCCCAGCTAAATCCCCGCTTCCATTAACATGAAAATGCGGCTGCTGGCACTGTGCCCAGAGCTCAGGGAGAGCAATTTTCTGCCACTTATTCTGAGCCATCTCGCATTTTTGCCCATGCCACAAGGAGAGGGGAAAACACAGAAGCGACGCTGGGTGTAAATCATGGCAGGGCCCGGTTAGCTTCTAGCCTGGAGGTGCCAGGGGATGGAGATGGAGCCATTTTCCTTTCCTCTGTGGCTTTCTCACCGGGGAGGGCAGGGTCAGCCAGGAGACATGCAGGGCTGACTTGTGACCAGTGCAGGTCTTTGAGCTGCCACAGTATGTGGCCGGGCACGCCTCCCCTCCCCATGTGAGGACAGGTGCGGAGGGCGCAAGGCTCCGGGAGGGCCAAGGAGCCCAGGGTGCGGGCTGTTAGGAAGTCAGTCACTTGGAGACTGGCTTCGAGAACGTGGCTGTTACTGTGAGGCTTCAGGAGCCGTCACTGGAGGTGCCTCTCCGCAGCAGCCTGAGAAGAGGCGCCTTGTCTTACAGTTCCATTTTACAGAAGAGACTAAAGCCCAGACTGAGGGGCTGCCTGCCCCTGGGACCCTGCCCGAGGTCTGACTCCAGCGCCTGCGCTCTGGCCTCTGCTGGGGATGGCTCTGTCCGGACCCCTCACGGTGCCAGAAGCCCGGGTCTCCTCCGATGGGAGGGCTGGGGCGAGCCGGAGGCCGGGTGCGGACAGGCAGGACTGACACGAGCCGTGTCCGTGCTTTCAGACCCTGTCACTTACTACACGGCCCTGCACATCGCCGTCCTGCGAAACCAGCCAGACATGGTGGAGCTGCTGGTGCGCCACGGGGCAGACATTAACCGGAGGGACCGGGTAAAAGCCGGGTCCGGCCTGCTCGGAAGCAGGGATGTGGTGGGGGGAGCCGCGAGCAGCCTCCCAGGCCCCTGGGCCTACTCAGCTGTGCTTTCTTGGCGCAGATCCACGAGAGCAGCCCCTTGGACCTGGCCAGTGAGGAGCCTGAGCGCCTGCCCTGCCTGCAGCGCCTTCTGGACCTCGGAGCGGACGTCAACGCAGCTGACAAGCATGGTGGGTGCCTCCCAGGGGAAAGCAGAGTGCCTTGTGAGGGAAACCCAGAGCACCCCAGGGCAGTGGCCAGGCATACAGGCTGGACGCAGCCTGTCTGATGACACAGCGCAGCCAAGCTCACAGTGGATTTTGTTGACCTGCAGAGGCTTTCGGGAAGTGGTGCAGCCAATGGCCCCACACCAGCCCCTTGAGGTCTGTCTGTAGGAGGAAGTGGGGCGTGCGCGCAGTCAGATTCTGGGGCGGGGTTGGGGGGGGGAGCCATGACTTCTTCTTGGCAAAGACTCAGCCCAGGGCTCAGGTGGCATCTGAGTGTCCTGAAAAATCCCAGCTCTTCTGTCCACTCTGCTCGTGGTTTTGTGTGGGTGGAAAGAGAATGACCAGAAACCGGTCACCCTCAGCCTTGGCTGAGAGGTCGATCGTTTTTAAAGGGGCACCTGGCTGGCTTCAGATGGTAGAGCACACGACTTGATCTCAGTGTTACGAGTTCAAGCCCCACGTTGGGTGCAGAGGTTACTTTAAAATCCTTGGGGCGCCTGGGTGGCTCAGTGGGTTAAGCAGCTGCCTTTGGCTCGGGTCGTGATCCCAGGGTCCTAGGATCGAGCCCCTCATTGGGCTCCCTGCTCCGCGGGAAGCCTGCTTCTCTCTGTGTGTCTGTGTCAAATAAATACATAAAATCTTTAAAATAAATAAATAAAATCCTTGAAAACAAACAAAAAAAAGTTCACTTTCTCATCCTGCGTGGTTTCCCTTGCACCTCAGGGGTTGCCCTGACCTCAGCTTCCTGGTCCCCACTCCTCTTCATTCTCTTCCTCCTGTAGGAAAGACTGCTCTGCTCCACGCCTTGGCCAGTAGCGACGGGGTGCAGATTTATAACACTGAGAACATCCGGCTCCTACTGGAAGGAGGTGAGGCTCGTCTGCAGGCTGTTCCCAGGCCTTGCCCTTCCCTCCCACCATTACACACGAAGCACTACTTTGCAGGGGTTTAAGACCTCCCATCTTGTCTTTTCCCGACTGGCTCTCATAGGCGCAGATGTCAAGGCCACCACCAAAGATGGGGACACCGTGTTCACCTGCATCATCTTCCTGCTTGGTGAGACCGTGGGAGGGGACAAAGAGGAGGCCCAGATGATCAGCCGCTTCTGCTTCCAAGTCACGCAGTTGCTGCTCGCCCACGGGGCCGACCCCAGCGAGTGCCCAGCCCACGAGTCCCTCACACACATCTGCCTCAAGAGCTTCAAACTGCATTTCCCTCTCCTGCGCTTCTTGCTGGAGTCCGGAGCAGCCTATAACTGTTCCCTCCATGGTGCGTCCTGCTGGTCTGGCTTCCACATCATCTTCGAGAGGCTCTGTTCCCACACAGGCTGTGCTGAAGATGAGAGCCACGTGGACCTCCTGCGCAAAGCCGAGACCGTCCTGGATCTCATGGTGACTAATTCCCAGAAACTGCAGCTGCCTGAAAACTTCGATATCCATCCTGTGGGCAGCCTGGCAGAAAAGATCCAGGCCCTTCACTGCTCCTTGAGGCAGCTGGAGAGCTATCCTCCGTCCCTCAAGCACCTGTGTCGCGTTTACATCCGGCTCCATCTTCAGCCCTGGCCTGTGGACGTGAAGGTCAAAGCCCTGCCTCTGCCCGACCGGCTGAAGTGGTACCTCCTTAGTGAGCACAGCGGTACTGTTGAAGAGGACATCTGACCACTCCCAAACTGAAGGGAGCAGGGTCTGGGCAGCTCAAGTCTCCTGGTGGATTTTGGTACCTGCGGCAGCCTTAGGGGAGAACCTCCTGGCCTCCTGTCAGAAGGTAGAGGTTGGGAGACGAGACTTGATCCTCACGGTGTACCAAAAAAACCAGGTGGAGCCCAGCAGCTGCAGTCATTCCAGTGGGAAAAGGCTTCGTCTTCCAGGGGGACTGCCCCCCTTCTGTTTGGCAGAACTCCCAGTCTCAACCACATTGGGAAAAAGGACCGGGTTTAGATTTGGGACGAGTGTACACCCTGTTCATCTGCGGGGAGCATCGGGCAGGGTGGCTCTGAGTCTCGGTCCTGAGAACTGCAGGAGGCTGGTCTGTCTTGCATGGGGCCCAGCTGAAGCCAGGAGGAAGCGCGGTGGGCCTGTGGGGGCAAGACCCCACTGAGGCCCTTCCCTCCCACCTCTCCCCGTGCTAGATTATTAGGTCACTTACAAAAGTGCTTTCGGTGGGCCAGGGAGAAAGCTGAGCTGACCCCTGCCACCTTTGGCTGCTCTGGGGCCAGGTCATCCATGGCCCGGCCCACCAAGGCACGGGACTGGATTCCGGTGGCAGCTCTGTGCCAAACCTGGGATCTTGGGGGACCGTGCCTTCTGCTAAAAAGCAATCCTGCATGACCAGGGACAGTCCTTTCCAAAATGTGTTTTGTGAGGGGTTCATCTGATATTGAAAGCTACCAATACTGCAAGCTGACTGTACTGTCCATGCTGAACCTTCACGGAGCTGAAGCTGCTTCCCAGTCATGTGGGTCCTTGTGAATTGTGTGAATGCCGGGAGGCAAGCTGAGGCAACTAAAGGATACATTATAAAGTAAAATGTTTCTCTTGGCCTTCAAGGTCGTTGTATGACGTTTTGGCCCCCTCCGTGCCCTCCCCCAGCCTAGGACAAAGGCTCCCACCGCAGCCATTAAGAGGTGAGAGGCACGAGGGGACGGTGGCATCTGGTGGGGACAGTTTCCAAGTAGCACCGCACTGCTGTCCCAGTAAAGAAGAGCACCACTCCAGACTGGCTAGGGCCTTCCCAGTACAGGATTTACCCTTTTATTTTTTGACTGAAAATGCTCACCAAGGAGGAGCTGCAGGGCACAGCCAGGAGTGAGGCTGCAGACTTCCCTTGCTGTAGCCCATTGTGACGATCACATTAGGGACACCAGGGCTCCCATCACCAAACAGGCCTCAGAACATGAACATCCCCAGCAGCTGCAGGCTCCACGGCCCGGCTCCTCTCATCCCCCCAAGGGAAAAAGTCCTCAACAACCGAGAGTTCTCTTCCTCTTAAGGCACCCAGGCCTGTGGCTGGAAGGCTGGGTGGTTGAAAGGGAGATCCAGAAAATCTCCCACTTGTGGTGGGATCGCTGTATTCCCATGTGGGGAGCCCCAGGGGCCCTGGAGTCCCATGGTCTGCACTGCCCGGTCCCTGCCTCTCAGGGCCACAGAGCCAGGCCCCAGCCTCACTGCTCTGTCCAGTGGTGCCCTCCCCACTGGGTCCCATTATGCCTTTTGAAAAAGAGTCTAGTGACGGACGGCAGACAGGTATATTTAGCAGTCTCGCTCAGCACTCGCGAACCATCATCATGGAGCCTCTGGGTCTTGCCCGGCTGCCAGCCCCCCACCCCACACTGGTCCCTTTCTCCTGCCATCCCCTGCTCATCTCAGGGCTAAGCTATAGACGTGGTAGATCTCATCGGGGAGGTTCTCCTGGCGCTCCTGGGCTAGGAGGCTGAGGCCTGCGCTGCGGACGATCCTGTGGACCACCTCGAGGTCCCGGCACACGCTGCTATCCACGTCGTCCAGGATCACGCCCTCCTGGGCCATGTTGTCTTTGATGACAATGATGCCATTGGGGCGCAGGCCCTGCTTGCAGCGCCGTAGGAACTCCGCCAGGTGCTGATCGGTCAGGTGGCCTGGGGACGGCAGAGGCTGGAGTCACGAGGGAGGGAGTGGTGCCACGCGTGTACATACCACTGGCCGAGTCTCTCAGCCTCCGCTCACACTTACCGAGCTCTGTCTAAACGTGCTCAGCAGTCCAGAGAGGCTTACCAAATCCCGTTCTATGTAAGAGGAAGCTGGCTCAGAAGCCACTCACCCAAGGGCTGTCACAAAGTACACAGCTGGGATTGCACCCTGACTTGGTGACTTCTGGGCACTGCCCAACACCTACGCTCCAGGCCACCCCCCCGCCCCGAGGCCTGGATTAGGGAGTGCATACCAGACCGTTCCTTCCCTAATTAGAATTCCAGACGGGCTGTTAGGGACCACAAAATACAGGGCCAGACCCAGTGTGTCCCCAGCAGGGCTGTGGTGTCTGCTGTGGAGTGGGCGGCCAACTGCTGGTACAGCGGCCTGCCGGCCAGGTCAACAGCCCAGGGAGAGCACCCTGGGCGTGCTGTGGGGCTAAGTGGGTGCAGGAGGGACGGCAAAGCAAGGCTCACTCGCTGTGAACAGCAGGGGCAGCCAAGGCTTCAATTTTTCCTCTTAATAGAAAACATTTACTTATAAAAACTCATTTCCACGTTACTTGAATGCAGTTAAGTTATTGGTCATTTACATTTTTTCAACCAAAAACTGCACCCAAGTGGGTCATAACAGGTACTGACAAAGCATGGAAGGTGAGCCCAGGGAGGACTGGAGAAAGCCCTGCCCTCCTGCCTGCTGCAGGAGCACTGGGGCCGCCCTCCAAGGTGGTGGGGGGGGGGGGGGAGGACACCGACCCGCCCCTACAGTGGGAGGTGCGTGGAAGGTGCGTGGAGGGTGGAGAGGGCCACGAAAAGCTCACCTATCACCCACTGGATCCAGATGACATCGTAGGAGCTGGGCTCGGGGCTGAAGTCCTGGAGGCCGCAGCAGAAGTAGTTCCTCACCCTCTTGCCCTCGTCCCCCAGGTACGTCCTGGCTTTGACCAGAAAGTCTTCTGTCACGTCCACCATGTCCACCACCGCGAAGAGTGGCAGCAGCAGTCGCTTGGTGATCCTGCCTATTCCGGCCCCGCAGTCCAGGGCACAGGAGGTCCCCGTCTTGTTTGGGCCTTCCTGAGAAGCAGGGAAGGCACAGACTCCGTAAGGAAGGCTCAGAGAGTCTGAGGGACCCTGTCCCCGAGAAGGGGCTGTTCCTCCCAAGCTCCCAGGTACTCAAATCAGGACTGGGCACAGGCCGGGGGCTGGCATGGGGGGTCGCCAGTGGGTAGGACCACAGCATATTCTTGCCTGGGACACACATTCCTAAAACGCAAGCCGACTGCCACTTAAAAGTGATTAACTTGGACAGGTGCATTTATCTCCTCTCATTCCCGACACCCCAGTAAAACCACAGGATGAAAAGAATTCAAGCCGTGAAAGAATGGAAGGCAGTCGGTGATTTTCACAGATCAGGGAAGGTGGGAAGTGGGAGGGGAGACCCCACGTAGTGTGGGGAGCAAGCACCAGCCTCTGATGCTTGCCAGGGGAGGCTGCAGCCAGGGACACGCCAGCCTGGCCCAGGGAGGACAGAGCAGGTGAGGAACCAGGAGCATGCCTTCAGCAGAACAGCCCGCACCCCCAGCCCAACAGGCCGCAAACACGGCAAGAGCGCGAAGGGTTCGCCCCTGACAAAACCGAACAGTTAAAGGAAGACTCCATTCTGGTGCCCAGGAGCCCCCGCACAGCGGCCAGCTCCCATGTGGCAACCTTGAGACAGAGGCCCCAGTCCACACGTCACCCCCGCACCACCCTTCGAGGTCTGGGTGGTTGACGCCAACTGATAACCAAAGGCCCTGCGGTGGTTCGTGTAAAAGGTGGCGCCCCGTGCAGACCAGGCTGGGCCACGAGGGCCACATCCTCTGCTCCTAGGCGGCACGCCAGACCTGCCTACCCTCAAAAACCTCTGCAGGAACTTCCGGGAGCTGCTGATGTCGATGCTGGAGATGTGGCCATACCCCCCGAGCATGCCGTCCACTGTGGGCGGGACTTCCTTCCAGTACGTCTTGGCCTTCGAATAGAACTGTTTCTCGTCTTCTATCACCTCACTTGTCATGCTGTCACCAACCGAGTCAGCTCAGGCACCAAACTCAGCAACAGTGCCTCCTGAACAACAAAAAAGAGCAAATCAGCCAGGTTGAGGGCCTCAGTCTCACCCCATGCTTCACGAGGTCACACAACCCTGCCCGATGTAGAGAAATGTCCAGTGTCCCCCAAACCGCTTCTATCCCTTGGATGACAGTACCTTCTGTCTCTTGTATTCAAGTCACTTTGCAAAATTACCTTTGTATCAGAGGAGAAGACCCAGAGTCCTGGGCTTCTAGTCCTTTCCTTACTAGACATGACACCTGACCTGATGGCTTCTAACACTAGGGCATAGAGAACTCCCAATCTACACTTGAGGAAAGTGAAGCAAGGAGCCCCAGCCTTCTACCGTGGGTGTTCTGGCTGATCCTGGGAGGGACCTGGGGAGTCCGCACGCCTCCCTCTCACTCGTGAGCACAGAACGAAGCTCGCTGTGGGGTCCAGTCTGTGGTTAACCATGTGCTGGGACAGTGTACCAGGCGCTGTGCCGGGAAGTGGGCAGACCGCTCCATGCACACACTGGCAACTGCAGGGCCGCAGACTAGTACAAGATGCGGGCACAGCACACCCGAGAGGAAGTGCTTCCCTGGGGAGTCGAGGAAGGCATCCCGCAGAGAACCACCATCAGCTGAAACAATAAGGAAGAGCTCACTAAGCCAGTGGGGCAAGCCTGCTCCACGAAGAGAGGTGTGGAAGGCACACAGAGAGTGCCTGCAACTGGAAACACAGGGTCGGGGCAGGGGCACATTTGTCGACTGGACTCCCCGCTGAAGAGCAGTGAGGTCGAACTACTCTAGGGTAAGCAGGGAGTGACAAGGGATGTGGGTTTCCGGAAGACCGTGTCAGCAGCTGTGTGGGCTTCGGGGGCGACAGTGAAAACAGACACAACAAGAGAGTGTTCCCATGACAGGTGGAGGGGTAACGACAAAGCAAGAGCCAGGGCCTGGGGGAGGGGGAGGGCTCGGCAGCTGCATACCCAGCCAGCCCAGCCACTCATGCCAGGGAGGGACAGAAGGGGCACATCTCTATCCTGAGGCACCGGCCCCCGCAACACGTTCGCCATGTGCACGTGCTGTTCTAGTTGCTCTGCGGCTTGCTGAGACACCGTCCGACCCTCAGGGAGCTTCCAGTCCAGCAGGAGACAGAATCAAGTGGAACCAACTAAAACACAATGCAGAAACAGTGAGACGCTCACTGAGCCAGAAGTCCTGTGGAAACTCAACGAATGGAGGACTCCCTTCCGACTGGCAGATGGAGCGGCAGCCAAGAGAAGGCAACCTCGCTAGGCCCCAAAAGACAGGGGATGATGGGGGGGGGCTCGAACAAGGACAGAGGGGGTGGCGCCTGTGTGCCACCCGGAAGACGGGTCTGGGGATGGCCTGGGCTGGTTGGAATGCAGACAGAGGGAAAGGGTATTATGGGAGACGAGCTTAGACAGGCAGACTGGGCCTGGATTACGGGAGGCCCCGACGGTAATGGAAAACCAATCAGCTGAGAGTTTCCGAAGGGCCCTAGGTGTGCCGGGCTATCAGCGGCGGCGGGCCCAACGGGCAGAGTGGGGGCCGAGTGGGAGCGGCAGGAACCACTGGCAGTGGGGACACGCAGCAGCGTCGTGGGAAGACAGCTCTCAGCTTAGGGGTCACATCCTCAGAGGCCCTCCCTGACCGGCCCCGCTAAGGTGGCTTCCTCCAACACCCCAATCCAATGCCCACGTTTTCCTGCCTTCAGAATGTGTACTTCTATCTGAAATTACACTGTTTACTTGCTGTCTAGCCTCCACTGGGATGGAAGCTCCAGAG